TTTATTTTTTTCTGGCGTTGGTGATATTTTAGTCTTCGGTGTGTCTCTTCCAGTCCCTGTGCCTTTGGGAGGTGTGCCCACCCCATGACGGTGGGGTTGAGACAGAAAACAGCCGTGAGGAGTGACCGGGAGAAGGGGGGGGCTGGGTGGGGGACAAGAGGAGAGGAACCAGGCACATTCTGCTCATTTCTCCGTTAACTCTTCTTCTGAAACACAGGGAAGAAAAACACCCACTTGGGGGCTGCTAATTTTAAAACATGGTGCCCAGGGCAGTCAAAGTGCGCGGGGTTTCAAAATTCTGGGCACATGTCAGCCCCTTGGGGTCAGAATTGCTTCCTTCTCTCCGACAGGCTGGGAAGCCCTGAAAGGCACGTGGTCGTTCGTGCATTAGGTGTTCCTGACGTTTGTCTGTGATGCACACACAGCAGGAGGTAAATGCCCAAATGCAAGTGACTTAGCTCTTGGCTGATGCCCTCATCCGATCGGTCACTATTGAATACATCTCCGGCTTCACGCTTCCTTAGCGTCCTCGCACTGCCGCTTCTGACCGTCCTCATCTCTCAGGGGCTCCCAGGTGACCTCCGGCCTCCCGCCGGACCTTCCAAGCCTGAATTCCACACACTTATTTGTTCTTAATGCCTTGCACGTGTATTGACCCTCAACATTTATACGGTGGCGAATGAATGAGTGGATGGATGGATGGGTGGGCAGGTAATCCAGTGTGTCAGTCAAGGCTTACTCTGTTATAAATAATAGAAATTAGCGCACATGTCATAAGCAGACACGAGCTAGTTCATCAACGCTTTATGGGGTTAGGAGACCCCGGGGGGCGGGGGGAGGAGTGAGGGAATGACGAGCGGAGCAAACACGAGGGGCGCGGCACTGAGCCAGCCACGGCCTGCCAGCGAGCGCGGCTTGCCGGGTTGTGGGAGCGGATAATCTACCGCATCCCACCCGCAGCCTGGAACCCGCCAAGAGCAGGCTCTGGCGGAAGACAAGGAAAAGAGTTTGCCTGGCACCCACCTCCTGCCGCCACGCGCTCTCGGTCCACATACGCTCTGGAGAGGGTGAACGCGCCCACGCTTCTGTGCTGAGTGGCTTCGCCACCTGGAGGCCTCCGGGGAGACCGAGTCCCCGGTCAGCCGAGCGCAGGTGTGGGCCTGGGCCCCACGGCCTGATGCAGTGGGGAGGGGGCACGCCTAGAGGAGGCCACCGGGGCCAGGAGGCGAGGCGGTGGCCGAAGCCCTGAGGCGGGGAGTGGGCCCCGGGCAGAGAGTGGGTCTCGAGGCCTCGCCAGGCGGCGCGCGGCAGGCGGCAGGAGAGCGAAGGGTCTGGTCCTGTCCTCACACAAGTGTTTGTTTCCTGGCATGTGAGTCACGTAAGGAACTTCCGTTGGGAGGCCACGGTGAAGGCCGGCCGGAGGCTATACGAGGAGCAGCTCCCCGCGCACAGAGAAGGTCATTCCTGTAGATGGGCTGGGAGCAACCAGAATGCCTGGGCTCCACCCTCTTCTCTCCTCAGCAGCGGGGGTTAGGGACGAGGCCGAGCTCCGGGCAGCAGGTGGCCCCTGACCGCAAACGAAGGGAGACAGGCACCAGCTAGATGTCCCGTGCTGTCCCCTCCCTCCCCACCCCCGACCTTGAGGGACGTGGCCGGCCCCCCACGCGACACGGAGAGAGGACCCGATTGTCCACCCACATGACCTTCCCCTTTTCTCTTCCTCATCCTCCTTCCAACTACCCTGAAGCCAACGAGGGAGAGAAGACCGTGTTCCTGCCTTGGGGGCTCGGGGGGGGGGGCAGGCTCTGGGAGGGGGCTGGCCCAGGAGATTAACACACCAGGGCTCAGCACAGAAGGTGGCGAAGTACCAAGGAATCCAGGAGATGCGGTTATCAACCGTGTGTGTGTGAGTGTGTGTATGTCTGTGTGTGGGGGGGGTCTGTGAGTGTGAGTCTGTGAGAAAGAGTACCTAGTGTTGTATAGCGTCCCAGTGTATGAATACGGCACAATTTCTTTATTTTCTTCATCGCAGGATGTCTCGCTTTTGCTTTTTGTGAATAGTGCTGTCGGGAACGCTTTTGTACCTGGTTCACTGCACAGATTTATCGGTAATTATTGATATGAACGAACCTTCCCCAAACGAGTGGCTTAGAACCAGAACCACTTGTTTGTGCGTGTTTCTGCAGTTTGGACCAGGCTCTGGGCACGTCTGCTGCCTCGCCCGGGGTCCTGCCTGCACTTGTAACTACCGGGGGTCTGGGGCGACCTCGCCCGAACGGTCACGGTCAGCTGGGGCTCCCTGTGCCCTCCCCGGCAGGACAGCCCATGTGTCTTTATGAGGCAGCGGGGCTCCAGGAGAGCAAACTGGAAGCTGGGAGGCCCACGGAGGCCCTGCCTCGAAAGTCACAGTCACTCCTGCCGCATCTTGTGGGTCACACGCCGACCCCTCCTCTTGATGGCGGGGGGGGGGGGCACTGGCCCCTGGCGCGCGGTGTGCACGCTGGGACGGCAGGACTTTGTGGCCGTGTTTTCCGGGCTCCCACAGACAGAACCCAGGTGCGGAATTACCCGCTGGAGCGCTGGACTGGTCCTCCCACCCACTGGGTCCCGTTGCTTCCCGTCCCTCCCCGGGCATTGCCAGGCTGGCTAATTTTAGCCATGCTAATTTGGACACTGTGCCTCCTGGTATCTCACTGGGCTTTGATTTGGTTTCGTTTGACCACCCACGAGGCCGAACACCTGTTTGTGTGCTTACTGGCCATTCGTCGTTGGGGAAGGACCGTGATCTGTGGGAGGTGTTCATACAGCCTGGAGCTGAGCTGGTTGTAACTCTACCCGGTTCTCTTCCACCTTGAGTGGTTTTCCTCTTGATTAGAAAGGAAGGAACATTTGAGCCCAGGTTTGCAGGGTGGTGAATAATTAAACAGAGCGGGGTCTCTGTTAGACCTCACAGTTAGAAAGCGGCTCAGGGGGACAGCGAGCGGGGCGTCTGAGAGCCAGACGGACAGTGCGTGTGGGGCACACAGCTCTGGGTGGACGGACAGATGGACGGCACGTGCGGGGAGCAGGGAAGCCCTGGGTGGACAGATGGACAGACAGTGTGTGGGCACGGGAGCCCTGGGTGGACAGACTGACAGACGGTGCGTGGGTACGGGAGCCCTGGGTGGACAGATGGACAGACAGTGCGTGCAGGCGTGGGAGCCCTGGGTGGACAGACGGACGGATGGTGTGTGCAGGAGTCCTGGTGGCCCTGGGGGCGATGCGCCAGCACACGAAGGGCCCTCGCTGAGCGGAGACCTCACACCCTCACTGCACGTTCCCGCTCGGTTATGTAGCGCCCGGAAATCCTGCTGCAAACGTCCAGAGCCGCACACAGACCTCGACACCCTGACCCTGTGTGCGCAGCGCCAGTGCCGAGCAGGGATGGTGGGGCCTAAGGGAAAGGCCAGCGCCCGTGTGTGCGCACGCATGCGTGCGCGCGCACACGCACGCACACACACACACACACACGCACATGTACATGCTCACACTTATGTGCACACCCGCACGCACACCCCACACGTGCATGCGCACACCCGTGTGCACACCCGCACACACAGACCCGTAGGAGGCTGAAGACGGAAGCACTGGGGGACAGAGACTCGCGACGGTGGTCACGTTGCTGCAGAAGATCTCGCGGGAACACCCACAACAGCAACGACATCACACGGAGACACGGCGGTTGGAGGCAGAGAGACGAGCTGGGCCGTCCGCCGTCGTGGCTGCGGAAGAGAGCGACGTCGAGGCGTGCGTACGCGTGTGCGTGTACGGGAGAGTGCGGTTTGGGCCTTCTAAACAAACAGCAAGTGTCTGTGAGTGTATGAAACGCTTGTGAGGGGTGTGAATCCCTCTCTCACGTTCGGCCAAGCCAGGCTCTGACTTCCAGGCCGGTGGACGTTGTGAACCGCTGGCCGCCGCTCGCGGCAGTGGCGTCGGGAAGCCGTGGTGCCCACCGGGCGACGAGAAACCCTGGGAACCGCGGCCCCTCCTCGCCAGGAGGGACGGGAGCCCGCGTGGAGGGGCTGTGCCGGCAGACGCCTGGGCCAGGGAGGGGGCCCGCCTGTCCGAATTCGGGGAAGACTCTCCGGCAACACCCGGCCTGGAGGCTCCGGGTGCGGGAACCTGGCGGCGGCCGCGGGGAGGACGAAAGCGGAAAAGCCTTCGGTGGCTGCAGACTCACCCCGGCGGAGGAAGCTGCAGCCTGAGTTTTGTGCCCTGTGACGCCTGCGAGCAACGTGCGGTCCCGTCGGCCCTCCGCCTCGTACCTGCCCACGGGAAGGCCGTGCTTTGGCGTTATTCTGGAAGACTAGGGGGAGGAGGGGAGGGTTGTGACATCAGGGCTGCTGCGAGGTTGAGTTTGCTTTGCGATGATTCTCTCTCTGCTTCCTCCCCGATCGTGATAGTAACCTGTGTTTCTGGTGGATTCCCTCCCGGCCTTTCGGATGCCCGCCTGGGAGAACAGCGCATCCGCTATCTACGAGGTGACCCATGGGGTGTGAATCGCTGCCCGATGTCGGCGCTGCGGCAGTGACCCGGGGGATCACACACCTTCCCTCATGGGACGCAGGTGCCCATGGGCATGGAGCGGAGTTTCCTAAGCGGCATTTGAGGTGAGTGTGGGCGGGCAGCCCCCGCGTGTGCGATCGCTTGCCAGGTTTATGTCAGCTGCTGTCCTGTGTGGATGTTTTCTGTCCGCTCTCCCGTAACCCCCACCGTGGCTTCACCAGGCGGCCGTCCCTGTCCCTCCCACCACGTCACAGATGAAGAGACGGACGCAGACGAGCTGGACGATGCGGCCGAGGTGGCCTCACCTGGGATCAGGCGGGGACAGGACCGCATCCAGCCCTGTGACAGCCGCACCATCAGCACCCGGGCGCCTCCAGAACGCACGCCATGCTTCTCTCTTCTTCCCTCGCTAGGTCTGGTCGCCGCGGTGGCTCGGAGGCGCGGAGGCCAGCGCGATGGAGGAGGACACTGAACTGAGAACCGACGGAAACTCACTCTTAAAGGCTGTGTGGCTGGGGAGGCTCAGGCTGACCAGACTCCTCCTGGAAGGGGGCGCTTACATCAACGAGAGCAATGACAAAGGCGAGACGGCTCTCATGGTGGCCTGCATCACCAAGCACGTGGACCAGCAGAGCATCAGCAAGTCCAAGATGGTCAAGTACCTGCTGGACAACAGGGCGGACCCCAATATCCAGGACAAGTCTGGCAAGACGGCCCTCATCCACGCCTGCATCAGGAGGGCCGGAGGAGAGGTGGTCTCCCTGCTCCTGGAGAACGGCGCGGACCCCAGCCTCGAGGACCGCACGGGGGCTTCGGCTCTGGTTTACGCAATACACGCGGATGACAAAGACGCCCTGAGACATCTCCTTGACGCCTGCAAAGCCAAAGGGAAGGAGGTGATTATCATCACGACAGATAAATCATCAGCGGGCGCCCAAACCGCCAAACAATACCTTAACATCCCTCCGTCACCCAAAGTGGAAGACAGACAGTCACCTCCACTGTGCGCGTCTCCCTCAGACGTCGAACTGAAGGCTCCGGGCCCGGGCGCTCCGCCCAGCGAGCGGGAGGACGACTTCTTCAGCGTCCAAACGGGGCATCCGAGTGGTTGCCACACCGCCAAGGCTCTCAACGAGCCTGGGTCCCCCACCAGGAAAGTTGGGAACCTCAAGAGAGCCCGCCTGCCCCAGCTGAAGAGGCTCCAGTCCGAACCCTGGGGCCTGATTGCGCCGTCCGTGCTGGCTGCTAACGTGCGTCAGGATGACGCCCACGGCGCGGGCACAGACAGTGAGGTCATCAAGAGCATTAGCGACGTGTCCTTCCCCAAAAGGGGGCCGCTTTCCAGAGCCAGCAGTATCGACGGCAAAGACCCCGCCCTGTTCCCCACATTCACAGAGCAGATTCTGAAGATCCCAGCCTCGCCGGCACCCGCATCCTGGAAGGCCGCCTACGACAAGGGCCAGGCGTCCCACCCTCGTGTGGCCAGAAGAGGGACTCTCCCTGTGGAGCAGGAGAAGGCTGGAGTCAGTCCATCAGTGTCCCACAAGCGGCTGGAAAATGACCCATACGATTTCGATCTGCAGCCAGGGGCTGACCAGCTCAGTCCCGTCTCCCTGGAGTCGGGCAAAGGGCCCCTCGAGAGGAAGAGGCTGAATGGCTCCCACGTGGCTCTCTTCCACGGCTCCCGCGAGTCCCTGGACGCGGCGCCCAGCACCTCCCCCAGCTCGGCGCGCCCCAGGCCACCGCCTCTTCTGGAAAGGCGAGGTTCTGGGACTCTGCTGCTGGACCGCATCTCGCACACCAGGCCCGGCTTCCTTCCGCCTTTAAATGTAAATCTGAACCCACCCATCCCAGATATCAGGCCCGGCGGCAAACCTTCTTCTCCACTTGCCAGCGGCCTAAAATCCATGCTGCCCGTGGCTCCCAGCTCACCGAAGAGAGCTGACTCGAGGAGTCAAAAGAAACTACTCCGGAGGCACTCCATGCAGGTCGAGCATGTGAAACAGCTGTCTGGCTTTGAGGAGATCATGGCCTAGACACTTCCAGAGGGTCTCCATGTACCCGACAATAGGCACGATAATCCGGACCAACACAGCCGTGTGGGCCCTCTTCCTCCCGCCCGTCCCCCCGTGCTGCTGTGCGGCCCACCTCACAGGGTACGGAACAGGGCCCCGCTTCCCTTCTGAAATGATCGTGGGTTGTTACGGGTTTGCTTGAAAAGGGCTCAGGGTAATTGGGTTCTGGGGATGAGGTTACCGAAAATAAATTTCTCCAAAGGAAGAAAACCTTTGGGGTTTGAGAGTAACGCAGCTGGTACGGTGATCTAGGCCCCTGACATCAGTTCCTTTCCACCAGACAAACTAGAATTTAGATCCCAGGATGGCAGTGAAAGCATGCCCTTAGTACTAAATCTATAAAGTGCCTACAAAGGAAATGAGGCTTTAGAATTTGTCATGTGTGCAAAAGCTCGAAACTGGCCCCTGAGATCTGGCAAGCTGTGTGTTATGTGTCAGCCCAAGGTGGAGCAGGGGGGACAGAGCTCCCATCAGAAGCATCAGAAGGCGGGGAAGGCGGGGAGGGCCCCCCCATCACAGGGGCTCTGGCTGCCTGTCACCGGGTCATGGGGCAGTGTCCTGCTCGGCACGGTCACAGTCTTCCCAAACTCCCCTATCACACTGTGTTCACATGCTCATCTGGATGTGCTATGAGTCCCCAGATACAACTACATGTCCCCCAAATTCCGATGTGCCATTGTCATCGGTGCGTCAGATGTGAAATCGGCCTCATCCGCCTGCCCTGACATGAGCCGTGCCAAAATCTTGGGAAAACACAGCCAGGGTCTGGTAATTAATTTGGAGGTAAATGTGATACGGTTTCCAGAATAGACCTGTTTCTGAAAAGTCGGTGACACCCCCCCCCCACCCACCCAAAGCCAGAACAATACGTAGCGCTGGGCCGCGCACACGTGGAAAATACAAGTGGGCGGTTCTCAGGCTGGAGAGAGTGGCGGGGAGTGGATCGGGTGTTGTGGCCCGAAAACTTCCGGGGGTGCAGACTGGCGTCTCCCCTGCTCTTGTCCAGGTAACTCCAGAGAAAGCCGGTTTCTGCGAATTATCTGAAGTGTCTACACGGCGGGAGGTTTGTAGAGATAAGCCGGGTGACGCTTTCCAGCCGTTGCACAAACCCAGGAAGGGAAGCAGAGACTTAGCACGCTTGGTGTGACGGGGCCACATTTCAGATGACGGGCCTGGTCGTTTTCCCGTTCATTTTTCCCTCCTGCTGCTCAGATTCGTGTGCTCTGTGGTTGGAAGAATGTGGTCCCTGGGGGTCGCCTCCCGCGGAGGAAGGAGTAGAGGCTCTGAGGTCTGGGTTTGCAACTCTGTTCCGTCATTTCTCAGCTTGGGGCCTTCGGCTTTTCTAAGCCTCCACTCGGTTGTCTGCAAAATGGGCTGGCAGTGCTTCACCTGGAAAGGGCGTGGGGGCTGGTGCCAGAACGTGCCTGTCCCGCACCCGGGGTGAGGAGGGGTCGCCCAGTCTCCCGCACATCTCCAGGCCTCTGAGGCTTCAGAATCTACAAGTTCTACATAATATCCCACACAGAACGCAGTCAAGTCCAGCTGAAAAGTTCAAGTGTCTCCTTGAGCTCCTCCGTGGTTCCGTAGTCCTGAGCCCCAAGCACACTCGTAAAGTAAATTCTGCCACATCCGCTTCTCATACGATAGCGTCTCTGTGACGACACTTGCTAGACCCTTACCGGGGCGTCCCGAACAAAAGTGCTGACGACGAACGATGCTCACAGATAAGCCAAATGTTCATTTTTTGATGCTTCCTCCCGGGCGGGGGCACCACTGACACTTTACGCTGGGTCGTTCTGTGCCGTGGGGGCTGTCCTGGTCCACCCGCTAGATGCCAGCAGCATCCTCCCCCGAATTGCGACAACCAAAAAACGTCTCCAGACAAGGTCAGACCGCTGGGGGGCGCCATCACCTCGGCTGATCACCGCCGGTGCCAGAACAAGTCAAGACCCGCGAAGCCGCACGCGGTCTGGCTGGCTCGGCCCTGCCCCTCACTTGAAGCCATTCGAACTGTGCTTCTGTAGGACGACTGTGGTCGGGCCCTCAGGATTCCCGGCAAACACAAACGCAAGTGCCCGTGGCCCTGTGTTCCTTGCAGGGAGGGAAGAAAAGCTCGTAAACTCGCGCAAACAGAGGGCTCGCGGACTTGGTTTAGTGTGGACAATCCGTGTTCTTTCCAGGGCCCTTTAGTCTTGAATGGTTCCTACCAAAGGCACACGATGAGCGGCAGAGAAACAACCGTCCGAAGCATTACAGAGAGAACCGTACAGACAACCGCTGTTGTCAGCACATCACGCACGCACACACGTGTGTGCACACGCATTTGTCTGAACCTTCAGCCAAGACCGGAAAGCCCGATTCATCCTGGTAGCGAGCACGGCACATCCATAGCGATGAGCTCAGGTGAAACGCGAAACGTGGTAGCTACTGAGCCGGAGCGACCTGTCCGTCCCCGGATGCCTGTGGCAGGCGCTGTCACGGCACTCCCCGCCTGCATCGGTCACTTGTGCCCCTCCCCTTGGCCTTCCTCTAGACAGTCACCGGATCGTCCCTGTCTCATCCCTGTTTGACGATGCAGTAGCTGAATTAGGCCGTTCCAACCTAGTGTGCCCACCACAACGCTTTATCCTGGTTCGTGCATAAGTAGGCGATTTTGTCCAGGTTAACAACCCTCACAACGATGCTTCTTAAAAGCATATTTTAGATTCAAATGTGCTTCGTAGGTCGGAGATTAGCTTTTTTTTTCGGGATCCTGGCGTCACTACAGAATTTCGCTGCCATCTGTGGTTTTAACAACCCATCCACTTGAGACCTTCTGGAACGTTCGTCAAAATATGGGACACGAGTCTAAAGTTTAAAGTCTGGGACTTCGGTTTAATTTCTAGACACTCCAAAGCCGGTTTTTGTTTTACTTGTTTGTTTGAATCATTGTCAATTCTCTTAGAATTTCATCCAGTGAACGGTGTCCTGCAAAACGCAGGCTGTGTCTGACCGTCTGCCTCTGTGTTGGTGCTTTGGACGTATCCCTGTTGCTTGAGCTCGTTCTCTTCGGCGTTCTACTCTAGCCTCAAGCCGACGACGTGCTCAAAGATGTATCAAAATCCATGTATCGGAACTGTTAGGCATTTCTAACATGTCAATAAAAAATACACTGCAATCCTTCAATAGCATTCTCTGTCTTTCTCTAGTGAAATCTCAGCGATAAATATTACCTTTTCCTTACGACAGGGTTGACGTGACTGCCCCATAACGTCTACCTTAGCAGACACCCAATATTTTACACACTCATTTTGAAAATTAATTTTTGCTTACACAAAAGTGTAACTGAAGTGTTGGAGTTTCACTCTCAGTTAGAAAGGGGCAAAGGTTGAGAGGGGCATTTCCCTTGGGAGAGGTGGGCTTCCTTCCTCTGGCCTCACTGCTCGGACCTCCCCTGGGGCTGTCTGACACACGCCACCTGTGGGGACTTAGCAGTCGCTGGGCTGGCCCTCCTTGGGCCCTGCTTCTAGTGTCGGCGAGTGTTACACAAGATCCTGCTCCGGGGCAGAGCGTAAGAATCCAATGGACTAGCCCTTGTCTCTTAAAGTCCAGAGTTCTGTGATTCAAATTTCATCCACACTCCCTGACTCTCCGGACAGTTCCAACCTTACCTCTGGGACCTCCCCTAGACGGTTGAAAGAAATTGTGTCAACAAAAATACAAAAAAGGACTGGCTTCAGGATGTCCCTTCCCCACTTCTATCTTCAGGAAAAGCAGGCCCACAAGTTTCCGAATCCTTTGAGGAGAGATTACGAGGGACCCTGCGGGGGGAGGAGAAGTGATGGGGGATAAGGCCACAGTGGCCCACCTGGAGTGGGGGGAGGCGCATTCCCAGGATTGATAAAAGGCTTGGAAGTTTGGGGTCCCTTGAGCGGACCTCGCCCCCTTCCAGAACAAAATGGTAGAGGGGAGTGGTCCATGGTGCGTCCTGCGAGGCCGGGCGGGGGCCGGGTGGGGGTCAGGCTGGGCAGGGGGCATCTGAGCCACTGGCCCTGCAGGAACCCTGCAGCTCAGACAGCACATGTATCCACGTGGCCAGTGAGCCTGTGGGTGACAGAGCCCGGGGACCGGAACTCCGTGCAACATTGAAGACCTACAGGAGACGGGCGCGGGGAGCTCCCCCGGGACGACATGGGCACTCTTACCGTCTTTGTTAAGTGGGGGGGAGGGGAGCAGATCACTCTTAACTAGATTTAGAAGAGTAAAGGAGTGAGATGTTTCTCACACCCAAGGGTGTTCTAGAGCCCGCGGCATGCACTGTGCAAAGGACAGAAGCGTCACCCATGGCATTTGCCCCTGGGGAGGTCATCGGGGTAAGCAACAGATCTTAAGGAATGAAAGGGGGTAATGCTTTACAGCTATGATGATACCAGAGCAGGTCAACGCAGGGAAAAGTGTTGGACGCTTCTCACCGGGCATCCTCAGCTGAAGGTGGTTCTGTGATCCAATTTCCTGGACTGATCGTGGACGGCGTTTTGACATCACAGAGTAAAAAATGTAACGTGGTTCACAGAACAGGGTGAGCGTGATGTGTCAGGACTGGGGAGGAGGAGGATGGGAGGGGGGAGAGGTGATGGGGGGACAGAAGGTGGCACACAGGCCCTGCAGTGTGGACCAGCCCAAAGAAACAGCCCGCGGAACACGACACCCCCCCTCCCCCACCCCGGACCTCCGTTCTGGATCCTCTGCCTCATCCGGGATGACGGACCCAGAATCATAGACATCCCTGATCCAGAGCAAAAAGAATTTCTCATACGGTGAGAGGTAAGGGTCTACGTTAATTTTGTAATGATCCCATTAGAATTTAAGAAGTATTTAATCCTTTCCCTGCCACGGTGGGCACTGTTGCTTGCCTAGCTGGTCTGATTCCTCCTTTCTCCTTTCCGTTCGGGCCTGATTTTGTTCACGTGGTCACCCCATATCCTGGCCTCTCTTTTGACTAAAGCCACACTGCTCCCTCCCCAGCTCCCTCCAAGGGAAGTCCTGATTGGTCTGAGTTAATCACGACAAGTCCATTCTCCTCATCAGTGATTGGCTAAAGGATCCATCCTAAGCCAATCACCACATGGCCTTCCCTTCTCAGTGCCTTAGATCCAGAGGAGACACGGCCTGACTGGACCAGCTGGGCTGAACGAAGGACATACATCCCCTGGTTGACAGATTTTCTCTACCTCCTACTAGATATGACCAAATAAACGTGTTGTTCCAAAGCTTATTTGTTTGTTTGTTTGTTTGGTTTGACAGCCCTCTTTTGACAATGAGAGAATGGAGTCAAAGGATAAACCGACGTGCAGAGGAGGGCAGAGCTGGTAGGGAGACGGACTGGAGCCTTGATCATGCTCTGCCTGCAGGCTGCATTACCTCTCAACTTCCTGTTACACGAAGTAAGATATCCTTGTATCATTTAATCTAGTTAGAGCTGTGTTTTCATTCACTGGGGACAACATGTGAATTGTTTGTTTACCCAGTGTCTGCTTGATGATTTTTTCTTTAAAGTTTATTTATTTATGTTGAAAGAGAGAGATAGGGAGAGAGAGAATCCCACGCAGGCTCTGTGCTGTCAGATGCGTGGCTCAAACCCACGAACCGAGAGATCATGACCTGAGCCAAAACCAAGAATTGGACGCTTAACCAACTGAGCCCCCCAGGCGCCCCTAGCTTAGCTATTAACAAGCTGAGTTTGGGGACCCTGGCAGCTTGTTTAGTGGCCACAGATTCCTGCCACCCAACATACTTCTCCTCTGAACGTGACTTAGGCCTCCTCCATCCAGAGATGGAGTCCATTTTTTCACCTTGAACCTGGTCTGGCCTTGGACTTGCTTTGGCAAACAGAAAGTGACAAAAGTGATCTTGGAGTGTAGTTCTTTGTAGGGGGGGCCTTGCTGTTTCTGTCCTGGCCCTCGTGGGATGCTGCCCTGAGCCTGCCGTATGAAGAAATCACGTAAGCCACAAGAGGGAGACGATGCATGCAAAACTGAGCTGCTCCAACCAGCAGCCTACGTCAGCCGGCCGCCTCTTCAGTGGGACCATCTTGGACCTCCAGCCCCGAGGACCCTTGGCCGAAGGCGGCTGCGTGAATAAGCCCAAGCAAAAGCGGCTGAAGCACCACCCAGCCAACCACGAAATCACGAGAAATTGTGCGTCTTTGTTGGTTTAAGCCACTGACTCACACGGCCAAGGCCGACCGAAACCAATGCTATTTAATTAAACCTCCTGAGCTTCTGTTTCTTCTTTGTCAAAGGGGGAATAATAACACTTTTTTTTTTTGTTTTTGCATGGCCGCTCGTGCAGATTAATTAATGCAAAATACATGAAGTGTGTGAGCAGCTAACACTGCAGGCCGGCACCTTGTAGGTGCTGAATGGTAGCTGTAAAGATTGCTGTTATGCAAACTTTTTAAAGTTAACACTTTCTTCATCCTTAGATTTTATTCTTCAAGGTTATATCCTGTTTCCTTTGACTTCACTTTGTTTGAGCAGCCTTCCTGGCAGCTTACTAGACTGGTCCCCTCCTAACTACCTCGCTGTGACTTATTCCCCTGTTTTATTCATGTCCCTCCCAAGGTAGTAACACAGATGTGCTCTGATCAGTGCCTGAGACAGTGTGACAGTTACTGCCTTCCACCCCATAGGTGCTGTGACAGTTCTGTTCCTTTATTAACCCCCAGGGGGCGAGTCAGGCCTCCTTGCTCAGTTGGTGCATTCCCACTCTTACCCTCAGCTAAGTGTTGTTGAGGCTCAGGCTTCGAATGCCCTGGCCTGAGCTACGGCCGTGTCAGGCTTCCCGCCTCTGAGCTTATGCAGGTGTTTTCTTGGAACTTAAACACAGGACTTAACATTTAACCTGGCAAAATTTCTTGTGAATCTTAGCACCGCAGCTGGCCAAGGTCATTTTAGTCTTACATCTGTCATTTGCTTCTTCCCTCGGTGCATCTAGATGAAATGATTATTTCTTACATGTTTTTTCCATATACATATATATCGATATATATGCATATATTGATATCGATACACACACACACACACACACACACACACACACACACACATATATCAGTTACTAAAAAATAATGTGCCACAGGACAGAACCAGGGAAAGAGCCTCAAGGCACACCAACACCACAACATACCTTCTCTGAGCCTGGTACAGAGTCATCAAATATGAC